ACAAGTTGTTCTCATGACTACAGGCCAGGACAGGCTGGAAAGTTTTAGTTGCTCAGAAACAGCAATAACATTTCCAGTCAGAAGCAATGAAACCACTTTGTCATTATAAAACAGGTTGCGAGGAGACCTAGGTTCAGAAAACACCCTCTGAGAAGACGTCGGATGTATTTCACTGAGCCTGTTTTAGACTCTCTGGAGTTCTAGGAAGTCCCAAACGAGCTCCAGTTCCCTGATGATGATGAGAGAAAAACGTTTCCAAACCACCCCTGTCAGTGCTGCAAAACCTCACCAGAGGTTGTTCTCTCCAACCACTCTGTTGCTGTAACAGCTTTCAAGGAGACATCTTCACAACTCACAGCCTGGTCCTTATTTCCCTCCACGGTTTACGATTTCCAGCCATGTGGATTCTTAAGCCTCACTTGAATGTAAGGGAAGTTACATTAAGATCTTTCTAGCATCCATGAGGTGGATCTTTCTCTTTCCAGAGATTGACAGTGATACCTCAACATACCGGAGAAGTACTTTCAGATTGTGCTCTTGCATTATAGTGAACATATTCCCGTTTATAAAAAGAAATAATTCATTTTGAGAATATTTTTTTTCTTTCTAATGGGAGCAATTCAGCTCAGTATATTATACATTGTTCTGGTAGGTAGAACGCCACCAGTGTTTCCGAAAAGCAAACACGCTTTGAGATTTCTGAAGACAACTGTTAACACAAAACACACTCTCAGCTAGAAGTAAACCTCTTTCCACTTTTCTACCTTTTGAGTGAAAGGTACCTCTCTTTCTATGTGCTATAAACTCAAAACAATTTCAAGGCAACATTGGCATAGCAGAAGGAAGGAAGGGAATTCCCCCTTGTTCTGTTTCAAATAAGGTCGAATTACATAAAATTATTATACTTGCAGATGAGAGATCTGTTCGTATATTGCCAAAAATAGAGTTGTTTGAATTTCTTATCTTGAAAGTGGTTTCTTACCTAGTCCAGAAAGAAAAAACCGTCATCAGAAGCTTTCCCTGGTGTCACAGGAAGGGTGACTGACAAAGGTTGATATTAGCATCATTCAAAATGTATTAATGTAAGAGAGTTAAATTTTAACAGCACTTAATCATTAACCAATGGCAGAATAAGTTATAGTGACTTGATTCCAGGTTCTTTGGATGGCAAGATTCACGTTAACTTACAAGGTAATTCAATTAAAGGATATATGTCTATATAAATAGATGTTTGCATCTAGAAAATCGAATCTGTGCTACAGACATCCACACTCATGGAAATGATTATGTATTTAAACACGTGTATAAGTAAAGAGGTGGATGTAAAGTTTAGCCCATAGTTAAAATCTCCCTCTTCTCAAGTTTAGAGCGAATACTCACAATGCGTCATCAGCGTTCACAGCCAGGCAATAGTTGAGACTCGAGGAGGATGATTCACCATGGTTCACCCTCCATCAGCAGACAGCCTTGAGGACTTGGGTACCTGAGAGGAGTCCCACCTCAGGGGAGATGCTGGTCACAGCCTGCTGTAATCAAGGAGAGCTCCAAGGGTGTCTGTTAAAATTGCCACTTGTAGGATCTGAGAGAATTGACCTTTGTCAGGTACTTTTCCACACCAGCCCCTCTCTGGTTGTGGCAGAGATGTTCTTTGAGATGTAGCTCTGATACGAGAAGTCTCGGATTGTCCAGAGTTGATGGGCTACTCTTGCTACACTTGGACAATAAGGAAGGCAGGAGCCAGGTGCATCAAGGGGATGTCTTCATGCTCTGGTGGCCTCTATCTTTCCAAACAGCCATCTTCATCTCTCCCAGGTTGATTTGCCCTCCATTCAGAAGCAATCTTACCCAAATATCTCAAAAGAAAAGGAGGAAGTGGGGGGAGAAATTGCACCGCCACAGGGAGTTTCAGGACAACTGGACTTTTGCACTGAGAAACAGGTTGACTTTATTATTATATGCTTTTTCTTTACTTTCATACCTTGCACAGCCATAAAGCTTTTTATTAACCAGGGACTTGGGTAAACAGCTATGATGCCAATAAAACTGATACCACTGTTGTCACAACCGTGACAAAGAGCTCTGTTCACCCCTGTTGAGATCCCAAGCGAGGAGGTAACACGATTGCATCCTTTCATATGATAGTCTTCCCCGGGACCTCAGGACATGGGTTATTTGCTGTGTGAGCATGTGGCTTCAAGCAAAGCAAACAATCCCATGATTTGCCTGAAAGGTGTGTTATGAAAATACAACTTTGAATTTGTTGCTTGGAGGGAGAACTGGACTTCAACTCCCCTACCTGAGGTGACTTTTGAGCTACCTAAAAGTGTCATTACCCACTCACCCCCACCTTTTTGTTGATTTTCAGATAGCAAAAAGGACTTCTCTTGGTTCTTTAAAGGAAAGGACACTGATAAGGAGGATGGATTTTATATCCCCTTCTTCCTGTGCTGAAGGTCCAAGATTCCCTCCTTTATTAGGTATTTATTGTGAAGCAGTATGTGGAAGAGCTATTTTTCACCTTTCCCTCTGGAGCTGACGGAGAAAGACATCTCCAGAGCATGACCAGGTTTAACAGGGAATTCCTGGCTCAGTCTGAGCGAAAGGAAGAAGTGTCTGGAGAACGGTTGGGCAACCCAGGAGGAAAGTGTTGTCTGGACTTGTGAGGAAAGCTAAAGCTGGTGAAGAACACAGTGCCTCAGCAGCAAAAGGAAGACTCAGAGTGGAGAGTGGCTGCCAAAGAGGTGGAGAATTTTCAGACCCTAAAGGAGCTTTTTGCGAGGTAACAATTGAGGCCATATTCACTGTGGTTTGAACTTTGCCAGAGGATGAGGGTGATGTTTTATTGGCTTTTGGGTTGTGTTTGTTTGTTTGTTTGTTTTATTAAATCCAGCTGCAGTCTATCACTGGATTACTTTTATCCATTAACAGCTTCAGGAAACTCCCGGCAGCACCTGAGAGGCAGGACTCCTCCCCTTTACAGGAACTGAGAAGCTCTCCTCCCAACAGCCTTTGTCCCTGTGCCAGGATTCTTGATTTTAGAACAGCTCCTGCAACCTCCTTCAGAGGAAGATCAAATGGCTCCATAATCTCCATTATCCTGCCCAAAGCCTTATTTGTCACTAGAAATTATACAGACAGGCCACTGCTCCTCCAGTGCATGGTTAAACATGTAGTTGGTCCAACCAGAGTGGTTTCCTTCAGGACTCATGTGTGACACCATGTAATTTCAGCGACTTGATACCTTGTTTGTGCCAGCCCATTCCCCGCTGATGATGTTTTCACCATAGTCTTGGTCCTTTGCAACATCATCATGATATTACTGGATCTCAGGGGTTTTTTAAGACATATTTGTCCTTCTAGGTTTTCCTCTTATTCTGACTTTTCATTTCCTTTAGGCTGGTCTTCTTTATGTGACATGCTCTTAAAAAAAAACTGCTGAATCAAGGACTTTTTCAGATGAGGTTTCTGTGTTTCTGAGCTGAGGCACACAGTTTACGAGAGCCTCCAAACTGGTGTGTCTCTCAAATGCTCTTGGCAACTTGTAGATTCCTCCCTTTCTGCCCTATACCTCTAATGGTTTATTTGATTGGTGTTTTTTTAAGACATATAACTCACACATAGCTCACACATAGTTCCCTTCCTTCAAATGTGGTATCTGTGTGCTGAACTTACGTGACTTGCCTTTCAGCCACAACATTAAAACATAGAATTTTATAATCTTTTAGGTTGGAGAAGAACTTCAAGATCACCTGGTCCAATTATTAACCCAGGAATTCCAAGTGCACAACTTAACCATGTCCCTGAGCACCACATCTCCAGGACTTTTAAATCTCTCCAGGGATGGGAAATCCACCACTGCCCTGGGCAGCCTATCCCAGTGCTTAACAACTCTCATTGAAGATATTTTTCCTAATGTCCAACCTAAACCTCCCCTGGTTCAACTTGTGGCCATTGCCCCTTAGCCTCCTCTTCTCCAGGCTGAACAACCCCAGGACCATCTGCTGCTCCTCATCAGACTTGTTCTCTGGACCTTTCAGCAGCTTCTCTGCCCTTCTATTTGCTAAATCTAATTGCTTTGTGGTGATGGCTTCAGAGCAACTCACAGCCTAGCCCTTCTCCAGTCAGCTCCTCTGCATCAGACATCTGCAATTCTTTTTTATTTTCTTTTGTGCATGGTTGGATTCTCATAATATCACCACTGATGATGGCAACTGGGTAAACTCCTCACTCAGACAGAGAGAATTGCTGAAGGGACATAATCAAAAATTTCTCTAATTTCCCTCTAAGCAGCTGTGCAGGGTGAGTTCTTGCCTCTCCTCTTTGAGTCAGGTTGTGAAGAAGTTATCTCAATGAATCCTTAGGTGATTTTCTGCCTCCACCCCTTAGATCAATCTACTTTCTATAAAGAGTAAGGTCATTCAATTAATGTCACTTTCTGCCCACAGGAACAGGTTTGTGAAGAGATTTTTAATGGGAAGATTTTCAGGGGAGATTTGCTATGGGTGTAGTTAACTGATTATTGTGGTCCACCCCAAATGGTCCAGAGAAACTCATATTTATAAACGAAAATAGATTGCAAATCTGGATTTTTGTAAATTAACAAAAAAAATCCAGAAAAATAAAGGTAGTTGTTTTTTTTTTTCTTTTTATTAATATTCTTCTTGACAAAGGTTCTGATGAGTTTACTAATAAAAAATGAATGAACAGCAAATACAACAAATATTGAAATAAATCTGTGTTTCTTTGGTCCAGATGTAAAGGAAATAAAATTGCATTGTTTGAAAAGTCTGGGTTTTCACAGAATTAGTTCTTAGTACAAGGTGAATCTCTAAGAAGTACTTTTGATACTTTTTTTTTTCCTGACCATAGTTTTATAAGCTCGTATTACTTCTTTCCTTCTTCTGTCTCCTTTGACACTCTGTGTCAATCATTAATTTACAAATCTCCTGTGGAAGGGTATGTTTTAAATCTACACAGAGGGCGAACCCCCAACCATTTACCATCAGCACCTGGACTGAAGAATGGGTACAGATTCCCTGAAAACTCAAACAAGAGAGACTCAAGGAGGCATTTTTCATCCACGTCAAAGAAGGAAAGCTTGTCGAGGTCCTGGTCCAGGAGGACACCGACCACACGGCACGGCTTGTGGTTTCTTACAACCTTCCCCCCAGTTACTCTGTATTCTCCCTGGAAAAACTGTAGACTAAGCAAATTCCCTTTTGGGGAAGTACTCATTGAGTTGCTCCTCAGGGTGTTCCTAATTTCCTCATCCACAACCCCCAGCTCCCACTCCAATTTGTCCCCCACCTCCACTTCCCAGTAATGTTTCTTCCCCGTGAACCCTTCAGTAGCTACCACCACTGCTTCAGACAAGGTCTCCTTCTGGGTGGAGGACTTGACTCTGTTCTTCTCCTTAATGGTGAGGCTGGGGTGTTTGCAGTTCTCATCCAGAGTGATATTGACTTGAGAAAGGAAGGGAAAAAAATGGGAAAAAATAAAATATAAAGCATCAAGTTGTAGATATGGCACTTCAGCTTAGTGGTTGTGGTCGTATTGAGATGATGATTGGACATGATGATCTTAGAGACCTTTTCCAAAATTAATGATTCTATGA